CCGGTCTTGCGTCAAGTTGCCCGTCCTTTCAAATTATTTCCACCACCAACAATAATGCTATTCTATCCATGCGACTTCTGTGGTGGTGGGGAAAACTACCATGGGAGAGAGAAACCGAGGGGGAAAAGATTTTCCTGCAGATACCCGGGGATGTAGGTCCAAGAGGTGATTGATTCCTCGCTTGAGGGAGGATGGAGAACAGCATAAAATCGGCCGCAAAGCCCACCTCCCTGTGCGCATCCGGTCCGTTCATTTTCCTTCAGTTCAGGCTCGTTCGCAACTTAGCTTATAGATGCCCGTATGGCCGAATTGAAGGCGGACACCCTCATGGAGTAGTGGTCGGTGAGCCAATAAACATGGGGTCTAAGAGGTGCCAGGCGGAGTTATATACTGGTATCGCACAGTAACTGGATATATAATACCGGGGAGAAAGCCAGCTTTGCGCATAGTTCATCGCAACCGGCCAACCTATGTACGGTATTCGCCCACCCTCATCTCCACCTCTTGCCTTGCTTTTTTGTTTGGTTCGGCCTGAGTTTTCCTACCGGTACTTTGGCGGACGCCGGATACACAACCGGGATAAATGAGAACTATTCCCACAAGCAACAAGATGCCAACATCACATATTATAGGAGGAACCAGAATAGCACCCAAAATTCCCTCCTCAACAGAGTAGCAATTCTAGCGCAAATCTGTCCTACATATATGCAGCTGGCCGTGGCTCATGCTCCAAATCTTTATGCATCGTACCGTACGGGCACCGTACTCGAGCGCATGAGGATCAAGAATGTGTCTCGGCGCATACCGAATCCCGCCCGTTTATTCGCTCGCCGATCACTACCCCATTAGGGTGTCCGGCTTCAGTAAACACCTCAAATCTTGGCATTGGGAATTGTCATGTTTTCCGCGTTCTCGCTACTCTCCCCTAAATTCAAAGGCGAATGTTTATATAAGGGTGGAAGGGGACCTGTTCTCCCTTCTTTCATTACTCCTTCAGATCGGGCTAACTTAGCGTCTCATCCTCAAGTCTTACGCTTCTGTAATTGTGATTTCGTCTTCCCTCCCTAACACTTTGTTTCGGATCATACCCTTCTTTAGGCGCAGTAGGGATACTTTCATACACAAGGTCAGTTTAACGATAATCCCACGGCAGTTGCCGTCATAGCGTATCGGAAGGTATGATTTGCAATATATAGCCGCTTCCCTCTCCCCACCATCCCCTCATCAAAATTGCGATCCCGATTTACCAACAAACCATCCGCTCTTTTTAGTTTTAAACGCGAATCCCCATATCCTCTCGTACATTTTTCCATCCTTTTTCGCCTTGAATCATCAGCCGATATGGTACTTTCTACCCCTCTGCGTTCCGTTCCGTTATTATTGAGACGTCAATTCCTTCGTCCTCCGTTGCTATTCGCTCCAGAGGTTGCGAGAAAGCAGGTGTTTGGTGCTGTTTCTGGTGCCAGAGCGCTAACCACCACCTTTAATCCTCAGGTTAAGGTTCTAGCTGTTCTCTATGACGTGAGCTAATCTCTCTCCCATTTGGTCGTTTGCCCGTTCCGCTATGCTATCGGGGTAAATTAGACTGACTGGGCTATACAGGGCGGGCAACACGCTCGTGATGTCCCTGAATTGCTCGGAACTACTGAGAATGAACTTGGGTTGAGGAGGTGGCTTGAGAATCAGGGGCACCAGCTTATCACTACTTCCGACAAGGAGGGGGAGAACTCGACTTTTGACAAACATTTGGTTGACGCTGAGATTATTATTACCACTCCGTAGGCCTTTACTAGAACTGTCGCCGGCGAAATTGGGGATTAACAAGTTTAGGTTTCACCCCGGATACCTTACTGCTGAGCGTTTGGCAAAAGCCAAGAACTTGAAGCTGGCCATCACGGCAGGAATTGGATCTGATCACGTTGATCTGGATGTTGCCAACAAGACCAACGGTGGTATCACCGTTGCCGAAGTCACCGGCTCGAATGTTGTCTCAGTTGCTGAGCGTAAGATTTCGTCCCTTGTCTAGTACTTGTTGAGTAACTTATAGGGTTTCACGTAGACGTCGTTATGACCATCCTCGCCCTCGTCCGCAACTTCGTCCCCGCCCACGAGCAAGTTGCTTCCGGTGAATGGAACGTTGCTGCCGTCGCCAAGGACGAGTATGATCTTGAGGATAAGGTCGTCGGAACTGTTGCTGTTGGAAGAATCGGTGAGCGTGTCCTCAGACGCTTGAAAGGGTTTGATTGCAAGGAGCTCTTGTACTTTGATTACCAGGTTTACCTCCTCTCCCTAACCTCCCTCAATATTTGCCTTGCTAAAATATCTCTGGTAGCCCCTGAAACCCGAGGTTGAGAAGGAAATCGGCTGTCGCCGCGTCCACGATCTCGAGGAAATGCTAACCCAGTGTGATGTCGTGACCATCAACTGCCCACTGCACGAGAATACACGTGGGCTCTTTAATAAGGAGCTTATCAGCAAGATGAAGAAGGGATCATGGCTCGTCAATACCGCTCGTGGAGCCATTGTCGTGAAGGAGGATGTTGCAGCCGCCATCGAGTCTGGCCACCTCCGTGGGTATGGAGGAGACGTCTGGTTCCCGCAGCCAGCACCCAAGGGCCACCCCTTGCGCTACGCAAAGAACCCATTTGGTGGTGGAAACGCAATGGTACCGCATATGAGCGGTACCTCGATTGATGCGCAGAAGAGGTACGCTGCCGGGACCAAGGCGATCCTCAAGAGCTACCTTTCTGGCAAGCATGATTACCGTCCCGAGGACTTGATTGTAATCGGTGGTGACTATGCTACCAAGGCTTACGGCGAGAGGAATAAGAAATAAGAGGATTTTGTCGGTTTTCGGTGTGACCCCCAGTTCACTTCACGCTCCTTCCTTGCCGCTTAGGAGTTGTTGGGCGGTTTGTATATAGCTTACAGTATCTTGGAATTGAATTTCTTCTCTGTGCTCGTTTCAACGACGAACCAATCATGACTGATCACTCGATGCGGTCTATGAAACTTCCATGTTGTAGATTGGGATAAAATGGGAGACCAAAGTATACGGGAATGAGTGGTAGAAGTAGCTTGCTTAGCTTTCTAGGTATGATAAACATGTCCCCAAATACTTAATAAAAAATCTCGGGCATCATAAATTTATTGCGGCATACGGAACCCGATGGCATATTCAACGACAATAACAGCTCCAGAGTGCGTGTTCCTAGAGCTAAATTGGCCGGTGACAACCCCTCACAGCCCCCAATACCAAATAGAGCATCCCATCCACCACCCAATCAGAGAAAGTCCCCAGAAACAGGTTAGACAGAAACAGGTTAGAAACAGGTAAGCACCACCTTCTCCTGAGTGAGCCACAATCCCCATCGGCAAACATCACCGGAGTAATCTGGCACCTCTACCTAAACTCCAGCACGACACAGTACGTGAGGTTTATCCCGCTAGTCCATCGGCTCTACCCCCTCACCGCCCAAGCAGGTCGCGAAAGTCGATCGAGTCGTCAAAGTCACTGTGCCCGAGTAAAATAAACTAATGTGAGAGTACTACTTTCGAGTCTGCTTTAGAGGACATGGATAACATGAAGGCGGTTGTATCTTGTGTTGTAGTTGATGGGTTTGTCGAGTTTTTGCGGAAGGGGCTTAGGGGATAGATGAGGATCTGCGTTGGAGTTTTATTGGGGCATTTCTGGTGGTGGATCTGTGGGGTGTATCGGAGTTTGGGTAGTTTCTAAGTAAGTTACCGTATTATCATAGATGTATAAATTTCTGGTTATAGGTCAGGAGTAGCTGTTGATGGGTATGATATGATAATATTATGATATCATACCACCAGTAGGGTTTGCTAGGACATGCAGGGGCCCGGTCAATTGATTTGTGGTAGGCCCTTACGGGGCATAAATCGTCCTGATATCATCGCCCGATACGTATCATAATATTACCAGACAAGTATGATACCGTGCATATCGTTGGAGGAACCAGAATATCATACATACTCTGCCAGCCTCCCGGTTAGAAAAGCCATTCGGAAGCTTGCCGGATCGGAGAAATGGACGGCCAATTGCATTATGATACTATCATAGATGAACGTCGTCGGAAGCTTGCATCGTAGTCGATAAATTTAGGTGTGACTCTGTAAGGTGTGAGCTTGGTCTTGGCAGATCATCAGGTTCAAGGTCACGTGTCAATTACGTTTTTTTTTTTTACCGCCTCACAGGTCGGGGGGGGGGGGGGGGGTGGTATTCAAAGTCAAAAGCAAAGAATTCTCAATAAAAGTAATCGTGGAATCTTACATTACACAATCACTCAAAGGTGTTCAAGTTGACAGATTTCAAGTAACATATTTGAGGGCTCTAAAAAAAAATTGGTCCCGCCAATAAAATATTGTGGGAAAGAAAATAAAATAAAATTCATTGCAGAAACTTACAACTTGAACAACAAAATATAAAAACAATCATAAGCCAAACCACCGGGGTCTACCACTGTGATAGCGAGCAAGCATGTTATTACCTTCAAGAGCACATTCTGTATTGCCAATTGTGGATGTGGAGGCTTTAAGTTAGCAGTTTAAAGAATCTAGAAAACTAAAGAAAAGCAAAAGAAGGTTCTAGAAGTACAACAGGAAGAAAAAAAGAAAAGGATGCGAGTACGAGTAGTGGGATTGTGTTTTATCAACCATATATCTTGTGATCGGGATAATAGGCGAACTTTTTTTTTTGCTGATATCAGATTCTGGAGATGTAATCTGTGTTATTTCTTGTCTTATGATACTTTACTCTACACACCTTTTACCTACGAGTACCGTATGCAGGGATGGACCTTTTACCTGCTGCCCAACATGAAAAAATAGAATTATAGTAATGGTAAATTGGCTGTTTTTGGTTGTGCCAAGCTTGTATGAAAGCTGCGTTTTTTCAACTTTGAATATCCCTAGTATGAGACATACCCGCCCCGTTAAAAATACCTGTCCTGATCTTCTCCTTCCTGCCTCCTTCACCACGGACACAAACATCGCTGTTACGCCCGCGCAACGAAAACAGATAGAATACTCGAGTAGGGTCCTTTCGTCCATACACCGGAGCCTCCCTGAGAGCTCCTGAAATTGGTCTGAAGCTTTCAGAATCCACACTTTACACAAAACCACTGCCGCACAGACACATCACCTCCCTCCCTACGAGATCACACCACCTTGCCCCTTAACTCACCTCCACCTTCATTTGCCACTCACTCACTACTCGCAAGTCAAGCCGGTGGAGGGAGGCCATTGTCTGCACCATCCAACCGCACACACTCAGCTATCCTACCAACTACAACTCGTCCGCGACTCACTAAACAACAAAAAACAAAAATGTCTTACTTCTCCACCATTCTTACCGCCACAAAATCTCGCTACCAGACCCTTCGTGGCATCGACGAGCAAGACGGGGACTCAGAAGACGACTCCCACATCTCCCGCGTTCTCAGGAACTACTACCAAGAGCAAGGACAACAGCTCCCGGACTGGCTCGGCGGGGGTCCGCCCCCGCCGCAGAACCTCCGGAACAATTACGGCCAGCAGAGGCCAGGAATGATGGGGCGGGGACAGCAAAGCGGTGGGCCGCAGAATGCGAATGCGACGTTGAGCGATATATGGGATACACCGCCGCCACAGGGCGGCCAGCGACCAGTGTTTGGGGTTCGCCAGCAGCCGGTACAGCAGCATGGGCTGTTTCCTGGTGACGATGATAGGCCGCCGCAAGGCGGTGGGAGGGGAAATGGAGGAGGGCCAGCGGGAGTTGCGATGACGGCCCAGCAGAGGATTAAAGAGAGGTTGTGGGGTGGTAGGACCGCGTCTCCGCCACCGAATAACTCGAAGCCTTCCCAGCCCCCACCTTCGTCTGTGCAAATGCCATTGCCACCGTCTATGCAGCAGCCGAGGAATAATGGCGGTTCGTATAGGCCGCCTCAGGGCCCGCCATCCGGTCAACAGCGCGGCGGTGGAGGCGGGGGACGATCTTATGGGCAGTCAGAGATGCCTTGGGACGATGGGTACAGCGGGAGTGGTGGCAGTTACAGCGACGGTTACGATGGAAACAATTTCAGCCCGGGCTTCACACCAGCTGGGTCCTCCGGCAGCGGGTCTCAAGGTAGTAGTAATAATCTCCGACGCGGGAAGCTGGGGATCGGCCTCCCGACAGGACCTGGTATGATGAGGCAGCAGGGCGGCAATCGTGGAGGCTATTAAACAGAGCAACTTGACCAGACAAATTTTGCTGCTTCTTTTTTTTCTCTCCTCCTTCCCTTTTGATTGTATATGATACGGAAGAAAATATCACTTCTGGAGTAACACTTTTTCCTTCTCTCCTTTTCTCCATACTCCTTGATACCGTCTCTCCTTCAAAAATGTCTTTGTGTACCGGTTTTGCGTGTTTGAGATTATTATGTTGGATATCTAGGGTACTGGGGATGATAATGAGACATGAGAATGTTCTTCTTTCCATGAGAGTCCTTGGCTTCTAGATACGTTGGAGCGAGAGGCGTGGGCGTAAGCACGATATAAATAGCCGGAGCCGGTATGTGAGTGTTTTGATAAATTAGCTGCTGAGTCCGGGGGGCGAGCTATCTCGCCGTTGGCGGAAGTCCGTACGACGTATGATACTAAAGTATACATCCTACCCTACCCTCACCCAACATTGTCGAAACCCCCCCAATGGTCAAGAATATGCTTACCTCCATCCCATCTTCCACCGCCAGTTTACCACAGCTGTATCCAAGCATGCCATCCTATCGCTTAGACTCATTCTCACACGCGCCGCCCAGATACTCCAGTAGCAACCTAGTCTAATATCAACCTCAACCGCCGCCAATCGATGGATCTGAGTTCGCCCGCTCAGGCGCTATAAAAAACAAAACACCGGGACTTCAAAAACCATATAACCCAACCCAACCCCCCGGCAAGATTCCTGGCGGGAGGGATATATCGAGTGAGTATCCATGACCAAATAGCAGAGATCATAACGGTCCTGATCTCTAGCGGGGAAGTTCCCGCAGCCTCAACAGCCACACACCATTTGTATCGTGCGCACGATACCGGCGCACATATCTGACCTCCCTTGAAGGCTCCCTCCCGGTGACTACCCACACGAAAACAATCTAGCCGTCATCCAGGTTTCATAACCGTTACCACCACTGACTGGCTGTGATATGGATGTCTTGCAAGCACCTCCTTACGGCCCGGTCCGGTCCCACACATGTATCCGTCTGTATTAAATTTACGATGGGATGGGATGGATGGACATCGTCTGGGTGCTTTGCTTGTGTGTTACGCAAGCGCCGCGTATGCATTGACGAATATCGTACTCACCTCTTTCCTTTTTTTTTTTCCCTCGGGGGTTTTCGGGGGCACGGTGGGTCAGTGGTGTTGAGGTTTCGTTCATGGCAGATGTTTGGGGCCCCTCTGTGGAGGGGCCGGTATCATATCATATAGATAGCGGGGAATGTGTGAGGGTGCGGTGTGGGGTTGTGGATTTGTTCGCTGGGTGAGTGGGTTCTGGGATGAGAATTTGGATTTCAATGAGGGGATACTTGTGGCTCTGTAGCTGCGGTGGGCTTGCTTGAGCGGTGTTGTGAGGTTGTGGTTGTGGCTTGCGGGTTTTTTGGGTAATGGGCACGTAAGTAGGATAACGTGGGATAACGTGGGTGCCGTCTGGGCAGTGGTGTCGGTTTCATGAGTCGAAGCTCTGGCGAGTTCTTGTTTTCATGGGCACTATCTGTTACATGTATGGGAACTGGCTTGTGTGGCTATGGTGGCGTGGAATGACTGATGCCTGCCTTTACGAGTATGATACCAGTTGGGCACCGTCCATCTACGGTACTCGAAGAAAGTTATTACGTGGCCAAGTGAAAACAGGGGCCACATCAACCAAGGGAAAAGAGGAAGGATAATGCCTGTAACTCGGGAAAGTTTGTAGCTAGAGAATATCCTCGTTTTCCACTTGTTCCCGTAGCGGCTGCACAGGGCCCCAAGACAAGGCCCCGGAGCGGATATCATTTGAGAGTTAGATTCACAGATATGTTCACTTGTTCGTTTATTAAGTGCTCCCGACAAGCGATTAACCAACACTTAGCTATGCATAAGTAGCCCGAGCGGATATCTGCTACTCCATCCTTGCATTGGAAAAGTCCATTTCTGTCCTCATTAGTATCACACATCAATCAACCGAATGCCAGCAATAGCCAACTCACCAGGGTGTTGTTGCTGGAATTTCCTCAGCATTTCCATCTTCTTCTCCTCATCACTGGTGGGCTTGCCCATCTCCTTCTGGCGCTGGTCGTACATCATCTTCTCGACCATAGCCCTAGTCTCCCCATCAAGATCTCCAAGTTTTGAGTTCTCGGGTTGAATCTTTGAGGTATCGATCTGAGGATGGTGGGTAAGAACGTGGGCCCACCATTCCATCTTGTTAACCTTTTCCAGATGGACCTCGACGGACTTTTGGTCCTCAAGAGACCAAGTTGATTCGTCGAGGACGATACGCTTGGGAAATTTGCCCTACCACCAGTAAACAAGTGACATAACGGCGGGATCACAGGGGACAAACTTCCAAGATGGGCTCTTGTCCCCTCAACCCAACCTTCAACGACTCGGACTTGATTTCCACCACCAGATCCCTAGCGCGAGTACCTTGCGGAACCGGAATGGTAACGTCGACTTCGGCAATGGTCTGTCTCCACTGGTATGGCAAGGCAGCTTGCTCGGCGGCTTCCCTCTCGGCGGCTTCCTTATCCGCTTCGGAGGAAGACATTCCTTGTATTTGTGGTTCTTTTCTATGCTTTCTAGGGGGAATGAATAAAAGGTTGAGGCTGAGAATGTAGAAGTTTAGTGGGGGGAAGGTTGGACCTTAGCGGGGATTAGGCACTAGAGTACCGGTACAATACTGTGCTGTACAGTACCAAGCACAGTAGATTGTGGTCTGATAACCCCCTGCGGCGCTGAACCGCTCCATTCCAGGAAAATGTGGCTGAATTAACACACGCGTCATATGCCCCGCCACCACCTAACCTCCAGCCAAAAGTCTAGGGAAGCCAACTCGCTCGAAACCGGTAAATTTACAGGGCCCTGTTCTCATCTCTCACTCTTTCATTCGCCACCCTCGACCGCAGCAGTGTCGTCGTCTGAAGGATTAAGGCAAAAAGATTCCACTGTTACCCCGAACCCCGCTTTGGTAGCTATAAGTATATAAGGAACTTGTAGTGTTATCATACCTGTTGCTTTCCCGCTTCCTGCTTCCGTTTGTCACAACTCTTTGTTGGTCAGCCTTTGATCAGATGTCTTCCTCGAGATTTCCACGCAAGTTCACTCCTCCCGCCTCTCCCACAGCTTCCTACTACGACATCTCCGACGATGACGAGAACGGATATAGTACTATCACGAACACGAGCACTAGTCGGAGTGTCAAGCTATTGTACTCAAAATCAAAGGCGAGTTTGTTTGCCTTGTTCTGACTGCTGGTTACACAGGAGATATGTTGAAACAAGAAATTATTGGAGCATTTTATCCTATGCCATCCACGCTTTTAAGATGTTCTTGAAATTAACATTCTTTTGGAGTGTAGGTTTATGTGCACCCAACGCCCTCGAAAATTGATAATATACCTGGCTTCGTAGCCCTTGTTCAACAAAAACCTCCCCCGAGCGATGCTCCCTCGACCCCGCCTGCGGTCGCGACCACGTTGCTTCTGGCCTGGTTACCGGAATCGACACTCGGAGATGCTTATGATACTTATGTCAAGGTAGATCTTATTGATGCTGAGGGGCCACCCCGGCAGTCCTACTTGGTGCCTCCGCCACCAGCGACTGTATACGCTCCGGGAATGTCGTGCGTTGGGAATTACGCATTCGCCGTTCCGGTCTCGGAGATTTATTCATTGCTCATTCGGCCTCCGAATTTGGGGTGGTGGTGGGGAAGTGTCGTCATTAATACGCGTGCTGGCGACTCTTTCCCCGCGTTATTCTTTCATGATTCGGAGTGTGCGTCGACAATCGCTCAATCAAAGAAACGGGCTAAGGCTAATTTTGATCCATTTGGTGAAGGGGGTGGCTTGTTTTGGGGCGGAGACGAGGTGCTTAGGTGGCTCAGGCGTTATATAAGGGTCGAGAGGAGTGAAGTGGAGCCAAGCGTTTATCTTGTCGAGCCTAGCCAAGAGGATCTCGTATCATTCGGCTCGAAACCCGTTACAGTGGGCCACGCAGGAGAAAGTTCAGCATCCGGCGGAGCTGGTATGGATCCTTTTACAAAGATGTTTAAAGAGGCACGGTGGGGTTTCCTAGAAAAGATTTCCCGTGTTACAAGGTTTACTCGGAGGACTGCAGAGGATATCCTTGACTCCCCAAAGGTTCCACCACAGGTCAGGAGACTTTTGAAGAATCCCGATGTGGTCAATCTCCAGGATGAGTTCGATTCCGCTAGGCTTTACCTTGCGCGGTGGGCTATGGGAATTGCAGAGCAAAGCGAGAAGGAGAGGCAGCAAGACCACCAGGTTGTCTGGGCTAATAGGGATGCACTTGAGTTGGAGGATTCGGCAGTTGGGGAGTTTGAGATTCTAGATCTCGAGTCCAAGAGTACCAAATTGGATTCAGAGAAGAGGAAGCCAGTATCGTTGGAGGAATGGAATAAGTGGTTTGACCCGAAAACCGGAAAATTAGTCATTACGGTCAACGAGGTCAAGGAGCGTATATTCCACGGTGGGGTGGAGCCCGGGGCTGCAAGGAAAGAAATTTGGCTGTGGCTATTGGATGTTTACCCTTGGGATAGCACCAAGGATGAGCGTATCGCTCTGATGAACAGTAAGAGAGACGAGTATGTTCGATTGAAGGGGAAGTGGTGGGATGATTTAGAGAGGAGAAACAACAATGAGTACTGGAGGGACCAGAAGAATCGTATCGGTGTGTATTATTGACCCATCCTACAATGCTGCAGGACAACTAAACTGATTGAGCGCTTGCGGTACAAAATACAGAGAAGGATGTTCACCGTACTGACCGTAGCGTGCCAATCTTTGCTGGTGAGGATATTCCTCACCCAGACCCTGATTCTCCGTTCGCCGAAACTGGCACCAACGTTCACTTGGAGCAGATGAAGGATATGTTATTGACATATAATGAGTACAATACCGAGCTCGGTTATGTGCAGGGTATGAGTGATCTTTTGGCGCCCATCTACGCGGTATTGCAAGACGATGCGGCAGCCTTCTGGGCCTTTGTTGGCTTCATGGGGCGGATGGAGCGAAATTTCCTGAGGGATCAAACAGGGATGAGGGCGCAGCTCGTAGTGTTGGATCATCTTGTCCAGCTCATGGATCCAAAATTATATGCATATCTAGAGAGTGCGGACTCGACCAACTTTTTCTTCTTTTTCAGAATGCTATTGGTTTGGTACAAGCGGGAATTCAAGTGGGACGACGTGCTCAGGCTTTGGGAGACAATGTGGACAAATTTCCTCAGCAGCCAATTTCACCTGTTCATCGCCTTGGCAATACTTGAAAGGCATCGGGATGTCATCATGGACCGTAAGTTATCCCTTTGCTATTGTGATGAATTACGCTAATTCTAGAGCAGATCTAAAACAGTTTGACGAAGTGCTAAAATATATCAACGAGCTTTCCACAACTATAGAGCTATCCTCAACCCGGGTCCGCGCCGAAGCGCTATTCCACAAATTCCAACGGGTCGTAGATGCCGCAGATCGTAAAAGCGGTTTTGTCGCGCCCGGGGAGGGAAGTGGCGAAATGAGAAAGCGGAGAGTGGAGAGCACTTGTGGCGAAGGCTCCTCGAGCAGCTGTACGGCACTGACGTCCGGGGCTGCAGTGAACAAGGGGAAGGATGTTGAGGGGCGAGATGGAGAGATTGTACCGAATGTTAGCCCTGAGTTGCGGGGTCTATTGAACAGGGAGATTATCAGGGCGAAGTAAGATGGGTTTCTGTGGATTTTTTTTTCTTTCTTCCTCTTCTCTTTTCCTTTCCTTCCTGCATCTTTGACCTTTTCTTGCATGTGGGTGTTTCTGGGAATGGCTGGGTTAGGTTAGGTCACGGAAATCTATGGGTGCACGGCTGGGGCTGGGACGGATTGGCCGAAACAGGCTATCATACTGTGAATACTGGTACATAACAGGATTCTCTCACAAGTGTTTAGATATTCTAGCAATACGGATAAGATCTTTGTATCCTTCCTCTTTGTATTTTGCAGTATCGTTCGTGAGTCGAGTAAACAAAAATTACAACCAGATCTCTAGCTGTGGCTGGTCGCATTTGGCACCTAGCAGGCGGGTGCAACCTCAAGTATGATATGTCCGGGTTAAGAATGCCATGCCATTTACAGAACAAGCCAGGGGCACGGCTTTGGTATCATTTCTCCTAGCAGCCCCTGCGCACACGGGGGCAGGGTTCACGGGTTGTGATGGGGAAACGGGGTACAGAAGGGCCTTCCTTCTATTTTCTCTTTCACCAGAGCGTTTTTTTCCGTTTGAGCACCTCTTTCAGAACATCTACAGAACCCTGGAATGGTGGAACATGATACGTGCTCTCCCAACCATGGATGGTAGCCTTTTGCTTCATAATATCATACCATACTTCAGATGACAGATTAACCCTAAAGAAGTTACATGGCTTCTCCCTATCATACATATCGTAGCCTTCATAGCACAAGCACCCTACCACTTGAGCTACATAGGATTCATATAGATTGACTAAACCCCACACTTACCGAAACCCCTCCTTTCCTTGGCTTCTATAAATTTCATTTGCCCGCCCTTTCTCTATTCTATGCCAAGCAACTCAACTAGAAACAAGTGGAGGAAAAAAAACTCCCCCAGTTTTTAGTAACACTCAACCCAAATCAAACCTCGCAATGGACAGCCACCGCGTCGGGAGCACCCCCGAACCTGGCACCCAGATCCAGCCCAATGATGCCCGGCTAACCCGAACCCATCCATTTCAATCAAAACCCGGGCCACCCATATCGGCGGAGCACGAGCATTTTCCCGAGTGACCATTGGTGACTCAATGTAAAAAAAAGTGGAAGTATGATGCCCCATACTCTTCAAGATACCTTACCGAGTGTATCGGTGATCATAATCTTAACGATGAAGCAACGAGAAGGAGCCCGGCGGGGCAAATAATCGTGCATCATACTCAGGTGTGCTGGTGCAAGGAATAGAAACTACGCATATTGTGAATTAGAGTATGAAATGTGAAAGTTATGTAATACCCGACGAGAGAGTTTGACTCGATTCCCTACCAAAGGGGATTAATTTATATTAGCTACGAACATTGTACGATATCACAGCACTCTTTTTTAATACCATACACTCATCAACGTACGAGTGCCTGACCCCCCCCCCCCCACTCCTTCCCAATTCCCTCTCCTGCTCCCAGTCATACTTACCCTTCTTCACTACAGATGCCACATTCCGACCGTGCTGATTGCCCTATCATACAATATCAGTGATTAATCCTTACAATCATCCTTCCCTTGAGGGCGTATATGCTGCTCGACACATTCAAAGTTTAATAAAGCGACAGTTGCCAGACGAGAAAAAAATAAAAATAAAAATAAAAATCCACCAGGGGGCAGGATAGGCATTCTTTCCCACGGCGGTGGCTGCGGAGTTTATGTCATTACAAGCACTCCTCTATAAAGGGTTTTGAGGAAAAAATGTATATGAATGATTTTTCGCAAAGTGTTTAGTAATTATTTCTAAAAAAAAAAAAATTCAGTTGGGAAACTTCCCACAGTGAGGACTAACTTACTCCCCGAGAAGCGTAAATAACGATACCGTAGACAATTGCAGGAAACTTGATGAAAAAAATGCTGACATGATTACAATGTTGGGATAACTCAATGCTGACAGCTGACCGCCCCTAGATGACCTGAGTGAGACCTACAGTGCCGGTATGATATTGGGTGAAACGCCCACCGTAGCCAACGCAGTAGCGGTCATGACAACCCAGAACCAACCAGCCCCCGTTCCCTCCATCCCCCCGGGTTCCAATTCCCCGCCCATACTTTTACAATATCATACCAGTATGATATAGTGCGCGCAAGGTATAAGGTAAACCAGCGGCGTTTCAGGGTGGGATGCATTATATAATCAGAATTAGGATTTTTTTTTTTCTGAGATTTTATTACTCATGCAAGAATAGGATTTGTTTTCAGTGTCTAAGCGTTTCCCTCACTCACTCACACTCTCCTTGCATCATACTCTACTTTATGCTTGGAAACAGCGAAGGAAATATCTGTAACTCAGAAAATGACTAAACCCGGTACATACCGGAGAAAGACTTGGACTATCATATCATAATATTTTCATACTTGCCTGGCGATAAATAACCCTAATCTTGGTTGCATAAGGCATTGCATTTTGAAACTCCCCTGGTTTACCTAATAGATTACATGCACCGGATAATCATATTATTGACCGATCCACCACGTGGGGCAGGAGAATTAAGAAAAAACCTGCCCCATCGGGATAGACTGGGATATCGAACACCCCGGCTTTCTTCAATAAGGGTGTGTGTCAGGAGGATATCTGCCTTGCTAGGAGTGGTAGAATTTCGATTCTGGACTGTATATGCCTGGGAGTTGAAGAAACCCGGTGAAAGCGCCAAAGGGTGAAGCGGCAAGGGTGGAATCACGGAGGGGATAGATGTAAGGGGGTGGCGTGGAATGATAGTGCGATGGAAGATCGATAAGTTGGAGATATAACTCCGGCTCGAGCATCCCGACAAGTCATGATCCCCCTCGATCCCAAACAATCTAGCGCTGTCCCGATACCTGAAATACCAAATACATACTGCCCGATGGCAGCCGATATTAGCAAAACCAATAATCCTATGATGCGAAAGCGACAAACCATTGCTGTGCGCCTAACTCGCCGCGCACCCAAAACCATGTGCCGCGCGGGCGCATATCTCCTAACCGCACAACTGCATGCCGTATACAAGTACGATAGGCAATCCAGCAGGGGCGAGCCCTGCGATGGGGATCAATAGAAAGAAAGAAAGAGGAAACAATAATTGTTTCCCCTCCTTATATTCGGGGGGGCAACTATAATATAAATTCCGAATGCCGTATGATAAGACTTTCCAGTACGAAAATGTTTTGATTTGGCCCCGCAATCCCAGCATGATAGCCCCATAAATTGAACTTGCTGTACTTTCCCAAAACACTCGGATATGGGTAGGCACATGGGATCATTCAAAGAACTTGTATGGTACTAGTCCCAGTGAAGCCCAGGCTCCTTCCAAAAGTTTGTCCAAAATTTCGATTTGATCTATTCGATACAGCGCAATAGGGTTGACACCCACGATGCTTGGAGTTTGGAGGGGCGGTGGGGTGGATCTGGCGAGGCAATTCATTTTCGATCGGAGCCTTTTGGGCCCCTCTTCGCGCAGCATCGGGCAAAGACTTGGAAATATATTATATATTGTAGCACGAGACATCACTCGTGTCTGCGATCTTGGGCAGGGACCTTTTGGTTGCGCTTGTGGCGGCCGGAGCCGGGTTCCAGGCGAGGAAATGACGGGGTCGTTCAGATACTTCCACCGTTCATTCCACCGTTATGCTTGAGACGCGCGACGCCCGTGCCAGTCCCCGGCCACTCGGTTGTAATATACTCGTGCACGACCCCCGCGAAATCATTCACTCCCTGCGCACCGCCACACCTATTCGATGCCCTTGAATGCTAAAGGCGGTTTTTAAAGGACTGTGGGGTGGACACGGTGATCGAGGTGGAACCTCTCGTCGGCGTTTTCAATCACACCCCATTGAACCCGAACACATCCTAGTACCAGATCGTCGTTAATCGGGCAATATATCGTGACAGGATGATGGAGCACACGGAGCCCAAGCCATGAACACACCTCCCAGCCCAAAACTGGTAACAATGCAAGTGACGGCAAGCTCGTGGCCAAGGATATAACGTGCTTGTAAAAACTCGTTAAATCCATCCATCGCCTATCGGGCTCGGATCTCCTCGATCGGAAACAAAACGCCCCGAGAAGGAATAGCGTTTTCCGGACGGAGTATAGCTCGGGGAAGGTTGAGCATGCTGGATCTCATCAACTGGTAATTCGTTATTCTAGTGACCTGCTCCGCTAAGCCTATTGTGGTTTAGACCGTTGAGATCTGGATTTAACGAGTTTTTTATGGTATTGGATCCCAATTGCACGCGACGGTAGCACCGCAAGAGTAATTGAGGAGGCAAGGTACTTCGTAGTTCGTACTCGTACAGCGTGATGAGTCGCCGGCGAGTGGCCAGGAAAAGTTCCTTATCCCAAGCTATTATAACTCTCAATTTCGAAAAGGCGGTCAATGTTGGAATTTCGCAGTTTCTATTTCGTATTTTTCTCGTCGAACGCAATTTCCCACAATCCACTTTCCTTCCTTTAGCTGTGTAAACTCCACCCCCCCCAGTTAAGGAACCAATCTTAACCCCTACCGTGGCGTCGGGAGGAAAAAAAAAACGGGAAAGTTGAAGAACCAACAAATCGATGACCTTTCATTACCGGTATTCGAGTACTTAAGTAGATGTCGATGACATTTTTGGCATGTTAGTGGTCTTGTGGTTGTAGAGGGCGCTGGGAGTAATGAATTGTTATGAAATAGGGCTCTGCAGGTGATGACTTCTACTGCTCTGGAGGCGTTCAGGAGAGCTCAGAGTCAGAAGATACAGTAGCCAAACCGGTGGTTTCTAAAGGAGAAGATTAACATGGTACCGGTAATTGATCAACGCACCGTAATATTAACCTAGCACGGTCAATGAACACGAGAAGCGAATCGATGTTTCACACACCTTTCGACCTGGCAACCATCAGAAGAGACCAAAGGGGAAGAAGAGTACAGTACCAGTACTAGCATTATAGCCTCGCACAAAGTCCCTGAACCAGAACGTTGTAAAAAGAGGGACCATCCCCGCATTGGCCTTGTCTCCGCACGGGCACGCCCATAACCTACTGCAAAAGAAAACCGTGACCAAGTCACTCACCCATTCACTCCTAACCGTAGCCCAACAACCTCACCCATATCCAACTTCTTCCAGTATGCCACCGCATGATACATAACACCAATGTTGCAAAGAAGGCCTTCGGTGATCGAACTCGGGGGGTTAGAAGGGGGGGGGGTTTGAATCGGGGATTCTGAAAATGGGGATAGAAGGGGGGGTTCTATAATGTCTTAG